AGTGAGTCTACGATCCAGATCTACATGTTAATCTCTAGTTTTGCCTTCAAACAGAATTCAGTTACAAAGAACTTGGAAAGATTTTGAATCTATTCAGGAGAGGAAAACTCTTTAATTTTCTGAGGAGTAAAAACTCCCCAAGAAACTTCATATAGCTTCTTAGATTTTGCTTAGCATACGTGATAAAACATTGATTGTTGCAGTTTGGTGACCCATGAAATTTGGGGGTTAGTTTTCTCTTCAGACCAGAGCATATAATTATGCAAATAAAGAGCTGTCACTGATCTAGTGAAATACTCACAAACACATGCACTCTGAAATTGGACAGAAAAGTGAAAATGGTTGGTGATGTGATGGTGCCATGGTTTGTTTTCCTGCCAAGTTTCTATCCAAGTTCATTATTCAAATTGTAAACTTTAAAAAGAGACATATCATTCTTGGGGTGTTGGTTGTCTTTTCATTTCAGATTCTTTGTATTGGTACTGCAGGCTGGTCACAAAGTACAGTTCAACATTATTTTACCTATGATAGTTTTCCATATCACCCAATGTAATTGCCAAAGAAAAAGCTGAATCATCTGGGGGAAAAATGCAGGACTTCTTTAGATTTCTTTCTAAAACATATTTCATGTGTTTTAAACAGAACCCAATCCCAAAAATACAGAGAATATAGTGAAAGGTTTTCCACAAATCTCAAAGCAAATGATTGGGAAAAGTTGCCTGGAAGGTCTCATGGATTAAGCCAAATTTCCATTTTGAACCTTTTTACATTCAAGGGGAAAATATTGGTCACACTGTGATGTCCACTTAATGGTCAAACTTTTAGGACAGCTTTCTTCTATCTAGCAATTCTTTAACCTCTGTGGCTCATTTACAGTTATTACTCCTATAAAACCTTTGTTCTAAGAATTAGAGTTCTTCAATGTAATATGCACTTTGGCATTGAGGTCTCTCAATTCCAAAGTTAACATTGAACAGGCTGTTGCATAATTTTAGATGTCATGGAGAGTTCCACTGATGAAATCTGAGAAGGCTCATGTCAGACCACTGACTGCTAAAGACATCACTACATGAAAGATCAGTGGTGTGAAACTTTAAAAACATCGATCCAAATGAATCAATTAAATCAACATTCATCCTTCCTAAGTGTGAGGTTTAAAACTATCATTGTTGCTTTTTTTTAACCGTACATAGATTTTGAGATAAATGCTGGAATGCTTTGATGACTACTTCTGTTCTTGAATCTCCACTAATCGACTTTGTGCTATTTCCCTCTTTTCAACATCTTCCACTTGGTGTACATTCTTTACTTTAGTACAGTGCATGACAGTTGCAATGCTTTAAATCTAAAACCGCCTAACAAAGCTGATACTTTAGGTAGGGTAGCTTTAAGCTTTGTGAAGTGTTGATTAAAAACCCTTTCCCAGACTCAAACTGATCTTTTTGGAGATTAATAGAATATTAGATAAAAGGAAGACGAACAATTCAAGAGACTCCCACTCAGTCATTCTATACAAGGAAGGAAGGAAGGAAAGTATTCAATTTTTGAAAGGGAGTACCTCCTGGAGTCTTTTATTTTATATTATTACAGCCCCTAATAAGTAATCATAAAATCACATTACCCCCCCACCCCCCGCCACCCATATTTCAAAGATGAGACTATCTCACATTTATTTAAAGACATTTTCCCCCAGTGTCATGGGGAAAGTTTTTGAGAAAATTTTACACTTGCTGTAATAGTAATATTTCTTAAATGAATTAGGAGTGCAGCTACCAACAGGAACCTATCAGTTTACAGTAAAAACTACAATTATAACAAGACACACACATACATGTGTCCACATAATCCAGAGAAACATAAAATAAATTCTAACTTATTAGCAGTGATAACATAGTTAACATATCTTGTCACCCACACTCTCTTAAAGGAGTTACAGGTTTTAGGGAAGGAATAGCTATGAAACAAATGTAAACAAGTCAGTTTCAAACTGGACATAGTATATCAAGGACTCACATATAGGAGTTTAGAAGCAATTTAATCTCCCCAGACTCCCTTTGGAAAACACATTTATTTGTAGTATATTAAATTTTACTTTATAAAACAACAGTTTGATGATGCATTATTCAAATTTTATTACTAAAGTTATATTTTAGATAGTAAGAACTAATGACTTAAAAATGTTACTTTTGTGAATAGTGCTACCCAAATTGTGACTCTACTAAAGTTAGGATATTACCTTACAGCAACAATCATAGTAAAAACAAGTACCTATAAGGTTTAAAATATTGATGAATTCTGTTCCATCATTCCTTTTATGTTTCAGTTTAAAAACCTCTACACAGCTGGTGAATAAAGGAACTCTGAGCAAGAATAATACACTGCTGCTTGTTGAGAAAAACTTTTTATTTAAAAATGGTGAACAGAAATATATAATATATAGGAAATGCCTGTGCCTTACCTTTTTTTTTGACATATCAACAAGAATGCAACCCGACTGAAGCACAAGGCAGAAATATGAGAAAAGAACAATTATGATAAGTTGATGGTCTCCCTTTCAAGTATCCATGAAGATTTTTAATGACTGTATGGTTAGGTACCATTAGAAAGTTGCAAAGCTTAGGTGGCTTTTAAGTTTTGACAGTACTATTTTGAATCTTACATTATCAACAACTCCTTTTCCATCCACTTGCTCTACATACTAAGTATGTAATTAAAATAAAGACTCTGTATCTTTACTTTAAATCTCTGTTCACCTAAAATACCCAAGGGCACCAAAATGGGGAGAAGATCAGAGCAGAAATACTGTTAACACTGGCCACCCGTAAGCAGGCAGCTACTACCAACTGCTATTGTTACTGCAGGAAAATTGAATTGACAATATTACTACACTTTATACCAACAGAGCCATAATCAACAGGTTAAAGAATCCTACATTATAAACAAGGAATCTGATCAGTAATCAGTAGGTGGTCTGGAATGGATTGCCTAGCTCTCTCTGGGTTGCTACAGCTCAGATCCACAAGTAGAAATTACATTTACACAACTTAAGTTTGCAAATATCTCTCTATAGATAGTTAAACAAGGCTTTACAATCCAGTAGTTTTAAAGTATTAAAGGCAATTAAACAGTGATTTTTCTCTAGTTACAAGTAAAGATTTTTTAAAAAAGAGGTGAGAAAATTGGAGAGAAGGAACAGGAGTCTTTTGGTTTATAAATTGAGCATATTTACTTTGCTTTAATTCAGCTGCAGAAGCTTCRCAAATTTAGCATTGCACAAGTGTTGGTTTTTTTTAAATGCTACAAAATTAGTTTCTTGTGAACATTTTCATATACTGAAAACACCACACAATTTGTAACACTTGGAAAAATATATTCAATTCACATCAATTCTCAAATCCTCTCACTGGAAGATACCATTATTTTACATAGTCCACCATTACTTCTAAAATC